CACACACACACACACACACACACACACACACACACACACACACACAGACACACACACTCACTCTCATTCACTGGCTGGCCTTTCAGGCTCCCTGACACTGTACCCTGGGCCTGCAATGTCCCTGGTCTTCCCTAGGCCCCTGGCTACCCATGAGAGCTATGTTAGCGACACGGTGGCCCCCGGCCAGGAGTGGCTCCCGCTGCATCTTCCTGTCGCCGCCACCAGGCTAAATATAACCTGACACTGCACAGCCCTGGGCTGCTGCTCCAGAGACAGCCTCTCTGCCTGGGGGCGGACAGGCCGACTGGAGCCCCAGCCTCCTGCCCTCAACGTGACTTTGGGCCTGTTCCGGGCACAGCTCCTCCTGCTCAGACTGAGGTGACCAGGGAGAGGATGGCTGCCTCCCGGAGGTCACCTTCCCTGCAGGGACCCGGCACCCCGCCTTGTTAGAGCTCTGGATGCTTCCACAAGGCCATCTGTCATCTCATCTGGCACCGAGGGCAGGAATCACTTGTCCCCGCAAAACCCACAGGGAGTCTCAGAGAGGTGGGTGACCTGCCCACAGCCACAGCAAACGAGAAAGACAGCCCCAGTCTCCTGATGGCTGGGACAGAGCAGCTCAGTTCTCCAGGGTTCCTCTACCTGTCTGGTTTGTTCTCTGTTCTTCCATCTTGCCCTGTGCACTGAATTGCGGTCCTGATGAATACGTTGTTCAATGAGGGCAGGCCTGTCTTGCTGGTCGTGTTGGCTCAAATGCTTCCCATGCACGTATGTGCTCAATGATTTTCATGGGCTGATGAAGAGCCACCTAATTTACAGATGAGCACACAGAGACTCTGGCCAAGGAACTTGCCCAAAGCCACTTGAGGCCATCTGCAGCCTCTTCTTCCCCGTCTGTGCTTCCATGAGAGATGAGGCCTGCCCCTTCTAAAACCAAGGGTGACTCCTGCCTGGGGCCTGGCCTAGGCCAGCCGTGCCCAGAGGTGGGAAATTGGGTGGAAACCTGGCCTCTGGGTGGGTTGAGGTACTGGACAGGGACAATGCCCTCCACCCTAGGTGGATTGCTTGGTGTGGATTGGCACCAAATGAAAGCAAGCCAGGAATGTGTTCTGATGATTGACGGAAACCTATGGGGAATGTGTCCAGGCCAGTTCTTCCCCTCCCCTCCTCAGTGACCTGCATAACCTCTGGAGGCCTGCTGGGTCTGCCTCACCGGGACCCTTAGGGCCAAGGGCATGGCGGAGCCTGTATGGGGATGGTTACTGTCCACAAATGCCTCCCCTTTCCTTGTTTCTATGCCCCCAGGGGCCCAGGAGGCAGGCCTGACCCAGGCCAGGAGAGCCTTCTCACCAAAGCAAGGTATCTTCAGCAGGTGCTGGGGCTAGAAATGGGAGGAGGGGGCGGGGCAGGGTATTTTTGGCATTAACCACATAAGCCTGGTTGACTTGGGGCCTCTCCATTGTTTAGACTCCATCCTTGTCTGCCCTTCTTTCTTCTTGAGTTTATGGAGAGCTTCCTTGAGCCAGGCTCTAAGCTTCACATACATTATGTCATTTCATCCTTACAATTCTGTAGGTGGGTGGGCATGGTCACTTCTGGGTTGCAGATGCACGCTCCAGGGCTCAGGGAGGGCAAGTAACTGTCCCAAAGTCATTCTAACAGTGCTCAGGGGCCACTTGACTCCACAGGCTGTATCCCCTCCCTTTGAGACTGGAAATCCCATACCCTCTTTTCCCTGTTGTCTGTCCTAGATGCCTCCTCCTTCCTGGAGGGCTCCTGGCACCAGCTGCCTAGGGAATGTGGGCCGTGCCTGCCACGGAGTGGCTCTCAGTGGAACTGCAATCTCACCCAGTCCCAGTCACTGGGCCTTCCTGAGGCCGGCCTCTGCCCTGGGGAGCTGGGAGGGTGAGCTGGAGGTGGGTGCCAGGGTAAGCATATACCCTTGCCAGCCCAGGCTTCTTGGGGTGCAGCCTAGACGGCTCTCAACATCTGTTCTCTGCTGGGAAGCTGAGTGAAGGTCAGGGCCCCAACCTCCCGCAAGCTGTAATTCTCTCTGTGCTGATACCCAGTACTGGCCATCCCTGGGTCCTGCCTCTGGCCTGGCTGACCCTTCCTTACCCTCAGGGATCCCCAACCCCGTAATCCCAGTCAGAGATTCGATTGGGTCCAGCTGGCAGGCTTGGCTGAAGAGCTGGGAGCAGGTGATGTGGCAGCTCTCGGGAGACCCAGCCAAGCTGGCAGGGTGGTCAGAGGCAGTACGTCAGAGAGCCCGGGCCCGTTCAGGGCCCCACTTTCCTTACTTACATGTACCCTTGAAAATAGCTGGATCCCTTCCCCCACCCCCACCATCAGGCAGGGCTCCAGTTCACATTTTTAGAATAACCAGGGCTTTGACAGGGTCATTCTGAAAGGAAAAATTTCTTGAATCTTGACAAAGGAAGAGGGTCGGGGGACTGTGTGTGTTTGCATGGGTGTGTGTATGTGTTTGAGGGGTGTGTGTCTAGGCATGGGAAGCAGGCTTATGCTGCAAGATGGTTATACCTGGAGTTTCTGTGGCCCAGGTAGGGGATTTTGAGATGCCAGGGTCTTGGGCTGGGTGGGTTTCAGAATGCAGTTCTGGCCTCTCTTGCTGAGTAGCTTGAATTGAAGTGGGGATGGGGTGCTGGAGTCTCAACTTCATGATTTCTGGGGTCTTGTTTTGGGGACAAAGTCCCCTAAGCCATCCTGAAGGATTGGGGTCATCTTGGCTCCAGACTCTGGACTTCTCTGAGACGAGTTTCCTGGTAAGGAATGAGATTCCAGGGCTTGGATGGCTGGGGTCTCAGGGGGTGGATGCTGGGGTCTCTAGGGCTAAGGTTTCCTGGTCTCTGGCCTCTCCTTAGTCCTAATGAGGCTAGTCCCTATTCAGACCGCCGCCGGCCATCACCATATTAGGGCATAAACTCCAGGCGGACTGTCTGGGTGCCAAATGGTCTCCAACTGGGCCCGGCCCCCTGCAGCTCCCAACACCACAGCTGTGTGTCAGAGGCCAGAGGTCAGGGGACAAGAGAGGTTGCTGGAGGGAGACCCAGACAGAGCCCCTGGTCTCAGGGCCCTCAGGCAGAGCTGTAAGGCCCTAGGATGTGGTGAGTGGAAGGGCTACAGGGTAAGACAAGAATTCATGGCCAGCCCCTCTCCCGGACCAGCCTTCACCTCAGTATCTTCCTATTTAAGCTGTTTTCAGAGGACCTTATAACACAAGATGAATCCTGCAGCTGTCAGAATCACTGATCTACTGTGATCCCTTAGCCCCGTCCTGAGCCTGACCAACATCTCCCAGGAGTCAGGCCCTTCCCACCTGGCCTACTCCCCACCTCCCCAGCATGCAGCCTCTCAGGTCTCTCTGGCAGGCATCAGGTTCCAGGGGTACCACCATCTCCAGATCACTGCTGCCATTACCCCTGCTGTGGATCTGAGATCAGGTGTAAGGGTGAGGGGAGTGTATAGGGAGAAGGGAAACCAGTTGAAGCAGGCTCTGGGAGGTAGAAAGGGGAGGAGAAAGGACAGGGTTGCTAGGGACCAAGGGGAACCAAGTGAGACCTCTCCTCCATCTCTTCTCCATCCCCGCCTCCTCACTGTCAGCATTGCCCCGTCACTGACACCACTGGTCAGCCCTGGCTCCCAGGGTGTGTTATTCTAGGTGCTGGGCCTTTCAGGGAGGACGTCCCTGGGAGGCAGCTAAGACAGGTGAGAAGAAGGGGAGCCATAGAGGAGCAGGAGCAGGATGTTAAGGTACCTTCTTGCTTCATCAAGGACTTCCTGCAAGTGGAGGGTTCTGAGCTGGGCCTTAGGTGGTACTCAGTGCTCAGCCCAAAGGGGTCTCCTTCAGAAATCAGTGTGGTGGTGGGGGGTGTGGGGGCCCATGAACTCACCAGGGAGGGGGCCTGGGTGGATCAGGGACACTCGACCCAGTGGGCTGACCTCACCTGGTAGCAGGGCTTTAGTGGACAGAGAGATACTGGGAGGGAAAAAGTCCAGGACTGGGAGAAAGATGAGGAGAGATGGAGTGGAACGGTCTAGAGGCAGTGATTGATAGATGCTTTTGTGAAAGATCAGTTTTCTTCACTTCTAATATGTCACAGACACTTTTGTGAAATTCAAGAGCGCATGCTTGGATATTGTGGCAAGGCCGAATCGCTGTAAAGATTTTGAGACTTGCTCTCAACATCTGTGCTTATCTTGTTGTAGGCTGACACAGCGGCCGGTACTAACCTAGAGAGAACGGAGCCAGAGAGACAGAAGCTAACAGCTAACCGTCTGCAGTGTGGAGCATATGCCAGACATTGCTCTAAGCACTTAGCATGTGTTGACTTAGTTGATCTTTACGACTCATGAGGAAAGAATTATACATATGTATCACAGCATCACTATGTACCCCATAAACATGTACAATTATATGTGTCAATGTATAAATTGGTTTTTTAAAAAAAGAAAAGAAATATTACTGTTCCCATTTTATAGATAAAGAAAATGGGGCCCAGGGATGTTAAATGATTCAAGAAAAATGCATACATGATTAAGGAGCTGGACTGGGATCTGAACCCAGAGATTCTGGGCTGAAAGTCTGTGGATTAACTACCATACTACACCGTCTTGCGTGAGGGAAAAGCAAGGGGCGTTGATGATGGGGAAAATGAGCTGAAAAGATGGAGGAAGAAAGGATCGTGGACAGTATGAGAGAAAACGCACATGGGACAGAGGACTCGAGAAATAAGATAGGCATAGGCAGGGGGGAGCTCTATAGGCAACAGGCAGGAGCAGACAGATTGAGGAAGATGTGCCAGCAGGCAGTCATGTGGCCAGATGAGGGATCGGAAGACCCTGGAGAGGAGGGGTGGTATGTGAGGGCTGTGGGGCAGACAGAAGTGGGTTCTGGGGCCCACACTGGCTGGCTTTCTGATCTGCCTACCAAGGGACGCTGGTGCCACAGTGGCTGTATTCTCCCCACCCCTACTCTGCAGGGAGCTGCTTCCTATGTCTGGTGGATGTGGTGCCCGTGAAGAACGAGGATGGGAATGTCATCATGTTTATCCTCAATTTCGAGGTGGTGATGGAGAAGGACATGGTGGGGTCCCCGGCTCGTGATACCAATCACCGGGGCCCCCCCACCAGCTGGCTGACCTCAGGTAAGTGCAGCCATGCTCTAGGGCTGGTTAAGGAATACGTGGTCTCACTTCCCCGGGGGTTGTGAGCTGCCCAAGGTCAATGCTCTGCAGGAAGGGAGGATGTGGAGAAGGGTCCCTTCGGAGCTGGGGTGTGTATACCTAGAATGTGGCCTGGTTCCATCTGGCCTGAGATGGCCAGACAGTGGTGGAGTGACAGGACCTAGAATCGCAAGTCCTTGGGGCAAGATGGCACCAGTTTTCCTAGCCTCACCTGCATGATTTCCCACCACAACATCCCCTGGGAGTGGTCTTCTCTCCAGCCTTGCTTGAGCAGCCCAGGGATGGGGAACTCACCCGTCCCAGAGGGCCCTAGCCCCCTGGGAGCAGCTCCCTCTGCTCATTAGAAAGCTCTGTCTCATGGAATCAGACTCAGCTCTCTGTGTAGCTTCTGCCTTCTGGTCCTTTTCCCTGAATTGGCCAAGTTCCCTGGTGGCCTTGGTTAATTGAGAGGATTTGAGGGAATGCTTACTCGGCCTGGAGACATGAAGGCCTTGTCTCCATGATGATGCAAAGGCTCTGATTCCCCTTCCTCTCCCAGGATGGCCTCTCGGAGTTTAATTTTAATTTTTCCCTCGGCGTCATGACAGAAGCTTTCACCTCATGATTTCTCAAGCTCTAAACTGACAATGTTAATAACGTCAGCTCTCCCTGTTCTACAGATGCCATCTGCCAGGCAGTAGGGTACATGGCATTATGCAACCCATTTAGGTGCAGGCCCCTCCACTGACTGCGTTACCTGCAGCAAGTTACACAACCCTGTTATGCCTAAATGCCCTTATGTCTGAAATAGGGATAATGGTACACACCAGCAGAGGTGTGAGAATCAGGGATAATTTATGGAGAGTCTGCCCTGAAGTGTGGCTCAATAAATGGCAGTTTATTATGATCAGGAATTTAGATAAGACTGTATTCTACCAGTCTGGGCAACATAATGAGACTCTACAAAAAAATAAAAATACTAACCAGGTGTGGTGGCGTGTGCCTGTAGTCCTAGGCTGTGGTGAGAGGATAACCTGAACCCAGAAGGTCGAGGCTGCAGTGAGCTGTGATCGTGCCACTGCATTCCAGCCTGGCGACAGGGTGAGACCCTGACTTGAAAACAGCAAACAAACAAAACTATTCGAGAATGCTTTTTGAGAACTGAGTTCAAAATACTGTTCGTAGGGGCGGGGTTGGAGTGGTGCCGGCCATGGGGGGTCCCCGTTTTCCTTTGTTCCCGGCCCAGCGCTTGGGGCTCCGGCTCCTAGACCTTCCCGCTCCCCGGCTGCCCGCGGTTGCCACGGCCACGCACCTCCCCTCTCCCGCAGGCCGCGCCAAGACCTTCCGCCTGAAGCTGCCCGCGCTGCTGGCGCTGACAGCCCGGGACTCGACGGTGCGGTCGGGTGGCGCGGGCCGCGGGACCACC